TTGCCATTGAAGGCACCAGCACACGGATGTCTCTGTGCTGCACTGTCCCAGTGGGGACACAAAGTGGGCCAAGAGGGTGGGAAGGAAGACTTAGTGTGATCCATATAATAAAGGTAGAGATCCTCAAATACACCGTCACAGGAAACATCAGACACTGATAGCGAAGTATCTCAAAAATTTAATGTATTTGTAGCACACCGTGGCTGTAATTGAAGAGAAGAATATTTCAACTGAGAATAAGAATATTGGAATTACTGAACACAATTTTTTGTGCTGCTTTAAATATTAAATAGGTTGGGTTTGCTTCAGCATCTTGCTTATCATTTAAGAATAATTTCTAATTCCCAAAGACCCAAAACTTTATGAAAAGCACTAGAAATCTATTTGAAATTCAACACTAAAACTCAACAAATATGAACTCTCCTTCAAAGACATTTTAATCTAAGTAACTTTTAGGACAATTTTTTTCATGCTAAAGTTGCTCAACAAATGAACATCTTTTTTTTTCTTTTGTTCTTTGTGTTATCCTACAAATGCTCTGTCAAAGACAGTTTGTCTCTGTATGTTTGATGACAAGAGAAGAACAGTATTTGCTATTGCATGATTAGTTTATGTCCAAGACAGGTTTTATTATTCTCTTTTTCCAACATCTGGCTCTTCCTGTGGGCTCCCTTGGACTGGTTTTTCCCAGTCCTCATCCCAGCCTGGTTTCTTACTGGGGGCTCAGCCCCAGGGCCCAGCTGGCTCCTCAGCCCTGCATCAGGCACCACCATAATCTCTTTCTGCCTTTTTAAATTACCTGTTTAAAAACAGACTGTTCAGACACATCAGACTTGCATTGAGTGGGTGCAGTATTATTACCATGTCACTGTTACCCTCTCAAAAAAAGTATCACATGGGGTTAAAGACACTAATTTAAAAAATACAAAGCAGGTGCTGCAAGATGAAACGTAGCCAGAAATAAGCTGTAGAGAGACTGTGTAAGGTTTTTGTCCAGGTGTTCTTCACCTACTAGAAAAAAGTAAGGGAATACTTAACCCTTTGGCAGAGGCTCAGGACTCTGACATTTCACATCAAGCACATGACACCAGTCCTCTGGTGGCCTAATCAGAAAATAGGAATGATTTCCAAGGAGTGGACACCAAAGCATTTCTTACCAAAAAAAAAGTGAAATCTCAGCTTTCAGCTCACTTCCCCCTCCACAATATGGGCTGTCTCCTCCTGAACTGATGCATGAGCCCCAGTGACCACCAGAGACCCCAAAAAATGCTTTTCTTATGGCTCATATCCTGAACTTCACTCTCTACCAGTGCTCTCCTTCTGAGTGGGCACAGTAGCTGGAAAGGAGGCATGGGGATGGTCTTCAGTCACCCATAAGAATTTGGTGCTTAAGTGACCACCATCCCCAATGGTCCTCAACTGCATAATCCAGGTCCTGTAGCAAGATGCAGTCCCTTATTATCCCCTGCCACACAGCTGGGAAGGGGCTATTAGAAATCCCACAAGTCAATGCTGTGTCATGCCAGATAAGAACTCAACCGATGTCCTCATACTCCCCAAGAAAAACCTCTCCTTTGCTAAGCCCTCATGGGCTCTTGCTTGTTAATATTTGTGACATTGACACTTTATGCATCACTGCATCTTACAAAGAGGATAACAACAACCTTTGGAAGTGATGATGCTGAGGCCACCCGATGTGGCACTACTGACATAGTCCTCTGGCTCACTGCTTGGTGCCCAGTCCCCCTGTAGATTGCCCCAGCAAGGGGTGGCAGCTCTTGTCATCTTCCTGTCATGAATCAGGTGCACACTGAAGTGGATGAGCATGAGACATGAGAAACCTCAGAGCAGCCTTTGACGCCAGCCTGATCTAGGAATGAAACACTTGTTTTAACTTGAAAACATGCAACATCCACCCCAAGCTTTCCGGCTCCATCACAGAAACGAGGGATGGGAAAGGACTCCCAGACACATGCAGGCAGGTCCCAACTGCTTTGTGAATGACTCATAAGAGCACTGTAAACTCAAAGTAAATGCAACATGTTTTATTTGAGGTTGAGATAAATTACAACTGTAAAGCATATTTTATTGCTTTATAAATTGTCTGCTCTTAAAAGGCATTAATATCAAACATAAACAAAACAGTGACACATTCCATTAACAGTTCAGTTCTCTGAAGCTTCATGAACAGCTCAGTAGGAGGATTTCATTATATGATTGCATCATAAATTTGACTTTGACATGCATTATCACCATTCAGACATCTTGAGGGGACTGTAGATGTGTTCATTTGCTTTAGGATATAATTTTTAATGCCATTTTTTCTAAAATATCCCACTGAATATCCAGTCCTTCATTCCCCACTCAAATCAAATCCCACTGCTTTCAAAAAACTTCTTGAAGAGATATGTGGGGTTTTCTGTCCCTGCAGAAGGAGAGCTTCCAACTACAAACCAGCAATGAGTCTGGTCTCAAAACGAAGTGAAAAACAAACTCCTCCCAGGGTTAAAATACTGAAATCCCATGCACAAAAAAGATGTGCCCTCCCATTCTGAAGATTCTTGCAAAAAATCCTTGCATTATCTGAATGAACTGATGTAAAGAATTCATATTTTTTATTGTATGTTTACTCCCTGTCTGAGACTGGTATGAGTTTTGCTCAGCACCTCTAGGACACTGACCCAGGCAAGGCCAGTCTGCCCTGAGCCCTGGGGCTGAGAGGGTGCTCACGGGGCCAGGTGTGCTGCAGTATGCAGCCCTGAATCCATAGATGCCATAGCATAATAAGTTGGATCTGGCTAGCTCCAGCTAGATATGACAGGCAGAAAGAAGACCACCAAGTCACTTCGTTGGCCTCAGGAGTCACAGCTCCTGAATTCCAGAAGGGGAATGAACACTGATAAGCAGCTCTCATTGCACCACAAAAAAAGCTTCCACCAAAGCATCCTGTCCCACTCTGCAAGGACCATGTGCTCCCCATGCCTTGGCTCTGGAACAGTGTCTCCCTGAGCTATTCCTCAGCAGGCAGCATGCACCTCTGCTCAGCTGGGTCCGAAGCAGCACAAAATGAGTTGTCCTACGCCCTGTAAAACTCTACAGAGACAGAAATGGAGACTACAGTATCCCTTGGAACAACACAGAATGTTTGCAGAAAATATCTGCAGGGCAGCTTCTCTTCTTGCCACAAAACCAACTTTAAAAATAATGAGCCACCAGCACAGAAAATTCTTCTCAAACTGCCTCAGTATCACTCAGAAGGTTCCTGTTTAGACAAGTGTTTCTTCTCATACCAGACTCTAATGATCTTGCCATGCCTACAACAATGTAAATAGCTGAGTGAGATGATAGGATATTTTACACTGCATTGCCAAATGGGAATGCACTGGACCAGGACTTGGCAGACAGAGTTAATTCACCTTCCCCTTGTTCTTGAAGTGATCAGAAAAAGAAAACGGTTTATATAAACTTCAGGGTGTTCAAACATTCCCAGCTCAGCAAATGCCCCTGAAATATTTCTCCTCTCTCAGAGGTTCTTAGCAGCTTATGCATTGCCTCTCTCAGACTAAGAACAGACAGAAATCTTCTAAGGAATCACACTTCTGGGAAAAAAAGAACCAACAAACTTCAGGATTGCTACATCTCGGCTAAGGCTCATTTACCCATCTGCAAAGCCTCTAATCCCTCTTGATCTTCACTCCGGAGCTGCCCATTTGTCCTGCACTTGCAGTCAGAGAGAGCAGATCAGGAGCCCTTAAATACATTCACATCTTTATTTCTAATTCTCCAGACTTTGCCTCCAGCAAGGCACTCAGGCCAGCACTGTCTTAGGCAGTTCTGTTAAAGCACCTTCTGACCTTCTGGGGACTACTTTCCTACTGAACTGGAAAGCAGATGGGACAATCAGTGAGTGCATCTGAAAGAAAAGCTTTTATCCAGGGTGTTTGCTTATGGTGAGGGCAGTGTTCAGCCACTCCACCAAAATATGGCAAACATATTAAGCAGTGGTTACAAAATGCTTAACTGTTCACAGACCATGCCTGAGAACTCAGTGTATTGTCAGAGGGAAACTGACATTTCCCTCTCCTGCAGTCCTTCCTGTCACAAAGTGTCTCATGGAACAAACAGGTGTCTATATTGTGATTTTACAAATGGAGGAGCTGGATCAGAGATGAATGCTGCCTGCATCAGACTCGTGGAGCAGATGAATGATGTAGTCAACCAAAAACTAAATCACTCGATGCCAGGCCTAGTGCTCCATCCACACCACCAGAGGTTACTGAACAAGGGACATAAATAATCCCCTAAAGGAACTGATGCATCATGAAGGGCAAAGAGCCTTTGAAGCTATGCATAATGGCATAAAGAACAGCAGAAGTATATTACATGTTTAGTTCTCCCTCTGCTTCTGTGTCATGAGGGCAGTGGGTTGGTTGGACAGTTGTCTTCTGGTCAACCTAATACATTATTCCCTATGGAAATGCAGGTAAAGGTGTATATATGATTCAGTAGTAGAACAGAAGTTTTACATGGGCTGAGAGAGTGTTTCTTATACCCAGGTGAGGTTTTTGCATGCATCTGCATACTCACCCAGATCCTGCCTCTGCTGTGCTCCATGCCTGAGTTTCATGCCCGGTTCGCTCTGCGTAGCAGGCACATCATACGCACACAGCGACCTGGTACAAGAACACATTCTGCAGGCCAAGTCTCAGGAAAAAATTCACCTACAAAACCTGTGTTGGTCGTTCCTTGCAGTGAATTGGGCTTTCACTAGGAATTAACATAAGCTGCAATGGCTAATCTTATACTCTGTCCACTTGCTTATTTTCTTTTCACAGTTCAACCACTTCCTTAATACTAAACTTGAAAGTCTTACATAGCATTCAGAGCATTACTTCCTGCTGGCTGTGTTTTGCTATGCTCTAAGCCTCTATCACAATGCATGCAAAGGATAATGGCTGAATTTGTAATGCTTTTAACTAAAAAAATACTTTTAAAAACATAAAACATAAATTATTTATTCCTCTTTGTCCATTGTTTTAAGTACTGAGTCTTCTCCCAGGATTTTACACAGTTCATTCAGTCTCTGTTGCATTTTAGGAATTCCTGCAAGTTGGGATTCCAGTCTCTGTTTCTCCTCACTCAGTGATAAACGGATAGCAGTGTCCAACTGCTCGAAGCGCCAGCCGCCTTGTCCGTCGAACTGCAGCAAGTGACTGTGGTACTTCCTGCAGTGGAAAGTAAAACATTAGTAGTGATGGCTCAGGGAACACACGGTTCATTTTTGCAAGCAAATCTGGATGTCTGTGCCTCTTTTCAAAGGAACCTCTCAGGAATTCGAGACTTGTCCAGTTCTTCATCACTGGGTAAGACTTTTTCCCAATGACTCACCACCCCAGGACACTCTAGCAAGTGACTGTGGTACTTCCTGCAGTGGAAAGTAAAACATTAGTAGTGATGGCTCAGGGAACACACGGTTCATTTTTGCAAGCAAATCTGGATGTCTGTGCCTCTTTTCAAAGGAACCTCTCAGGAATTCGAGACTTGTCCAGTTCTTCATCACTGGGTAAGACTTTTTCCCAATGACTCACCACCCCAGGACACTCTACTCTACAAAGCCTGTCATCAGGACTTCCCTAGACCTCCTAGTGAAATTCAGCAGCAGGGTGCCAGCTGTAAGCTGTCAGCACTGGTATGGGCTCCCCACCTGGGCAACTGCATGGCTAGGCTCACCAAAGCCCTCATTGGCAGTGATGCTGGCAGGAGTGGGGACTGCCTCATTCTTGCAAACATTGTGGCTACAGTTGCCTTCACTGCAGCTCCATCAGGTGCCTTTTCATCCAGGGGCTTGAACAGCAGCATTATACAGGGCTCACTTCTCCCTCAGGAATGCTAGGCCCAGTTTACTTTATTTCCCTCACTTTCTGAGAGACATCTTAGTGGATAATACAGGCAGGCACAGTGCACCTGATGCTACTGATAAAACACAAGTTTGTTCAAATTACACCTCAGTTTGTTCCCCATCATCTTACAATGTTGGCTAAAGGTAACTTCAGTCCTAAATCATGGTTCAGTTTGCTTTTTTTCGCTCAGGGGCCACAGATCTTTCAGTAAGTATCAGGGTGTGTGCACTGAAAATATTCAAAGGTGTACAAGTGGAGTTTGTTGAGACCTGACAAGACATTTTTCAGGAGGTGCATGAGGAAGAGCAGAGAGTTCCCTCAGAGCTGCTGGTATGACTACGTAATTTATCACTATAAATTATAGGAGATGAGTTGCATCATAAAACACTGATTATAAATCCCATCCAGGGAATGTGACAGTTTAATAAACTCAATGGCTTATGACATGGGACTCCAAAGAGATTAATCTCCAGACTTACATTCACCACTTCTTGCATGTTATTATTTATGACGCCAAATGCTTAACCTATCCTTCTATTTTTTCCCCCCACCAAAACCCCAAAAAACTGAGAAGCTAAGAGCTCACTGAGACATCCAATATCCAATGTCTGTGGTCTAGGAAAGTTTTAATCAATATTTTGATTAAAAGAGCAAATATTTCCTGGTCTAATCTTGAGGAGGAGAAAACAACATGTGAACCCTTCTTTTTTCCTCTCTGCAGTGCAGTCCCTGTGGAAGCATAGCTAAGTTAAAGGCATTTGGTGCTTACTTCTAAATACTCAGCATTTCTGTTTACTTCTCCAGAACCATATAAATCACCAGATTTCTGATCATTTCAGGAATATTGTGGAGGTTACAAGAACACACCCAAACCTTCCTGAATAGCACTAATACTAGGAAACAAGAAATGTCAGTAGGAAACTGAACTCAAAAGTTCTTTCTCATAAGATCTTTTGCTTAACTTCCTTCTCATCATCATTATAGGTGAGATGCTCTGTATTCACTTGAGCAGTGGTTTTAAAATAATGCCAAACTTCATTAAATACTACTTTTCTTTGTAAGCGTAATCTAAGTCATTTTTAAACCAAATGTGTGTGACATCCTTTTTTCTATCAGAATACCCATTTTTTTTCTTAACATTTAGGTTCTGATCAAAAAGAAAGCCATTTCCACTGTCATCATCTACACAGCAGAAGAAAGAATGACAGAGAAACCATTCCTTTTCAGAAAAGGAGACATGAATACAATTTCTGTCCATTGAGGCAAGAGACTCATAAGGGATTTTTTTGTCATCAGTTTAAAAAAAAAGCAAACAGTCTGACATTAGGATCTAGGAATTCAAAACAAACAGTCTCTGCTAATGTTAGCTTACACCTTCTTGGTTTCCTTTTGCCCTTTAAAGTATTTGGTTGCTTTTATTACATATATTTCCTTTGAGGGACTCTTCCATACTTAGCACTCTGTCACTAGAATGATGTTTCTCAGAACTCCACTATTTCTTACTTTAATAGACCATCAAATTTTGAAAGCAAACAAATGCTGCAGATAGAGGACACAACTGAAGTTATTACATCAGATGTAAGATTTATATGGAAGAACAAAGAATATTTTAACCACTTGCCATATTTCCCATCTTCTCCCTGCACTGGTAAACTTCCCCAGGACACCTCATGCATCTTGCCACCTTTACAGAATAACCCTGTGCTATCTGTTATGGTTGTGGTGTAGACTAATTAATTCCCTCTTAGACACCTGCATGTCAATAACTAAAACACATTAAAAACAGTAAGAGGGAGGAAAAAATACGTTTCAAAGAATGCAAAAAATCAATGCTAAATTCATTTACATCACTACTGTTGTAGACAATTTATCTTAGAAAGTGCAGTAGATAATGATTAAACAACTGTCCTAGTACAAAGAAGAAAGGCCAATCCACTGCCTGTCAGAAAGCTAAAAGCGAGGACCACGATAAAGCCATGAATATGCTTACCAAAGAGAAGGTCTGTGTGTTATAGAAAGCAGGGATATGCCAGCAGCTTTCGCAGCTTGGAATATCTTTCCTTCGACATCAATGCTTACAGCACTCGTACATTCATCCAGCAATGCATATTTTGGCCTTTCAAAAGCAGATAAAAAACATTACTCTTCTAGATCCTGGACAGTGTTCCCATGTATGATGTTTAATTGAAAGAACAACAGAAAGGAGAGAGCTATTTTTGCCAGACAGCTGTCTCTCATTTACAGCTGGAAGCTGCCTAGCAACAATATAAAGTTTCCATGCATTATTAAGGTGCAGGAAAAATGGGGTTTATTTCCTGGTCCACCTGAGTACACAGTGATCTAACTTCTATGTCCTAGTTTGACCTAGTATTATTTTGTCCTTTCATCAAGTCATGCAGCAGCTACAGACAACTCAAGAGCCTTCTATCTACTGCAATGTATGGACTGGGCTGCTTTTGCATGCCTGCAGTCTCCAAAACCAAAAGGTTTTGGAGCTTGACTTTCAAACTCCAAAAGCTTCTGCAACAGTCCATCAGACTTCTGCAACATTTGCAGGAGGGAAGGTGTTCATGCCCAAGATGTTAAAGGAAAGAACATCTGGAAAACACAGTGCTATATTGCCAAAAGCAAAGCTTAAGAAGCATTGCCCAAACAAAAGGCAGAGCTTGTATGAATAAACAGTAAGATCTGAGGTCCTATGCAACCATCTAGCAGTGTTGCATATTGCGTGCAGGTTATAGCACATTACTGCTCAAACTGCACCAGGAAACCTGAAAATTCTTTCTCATTTTCAAATGCTACTTAAGGAACGAATCCTAACACTTACTTGTGGTAAAACATCCGAGCCATGCCCATCCTTTGTTTTTCTCCTCCTGATAAGACATCTTTCCAATCCATGATGGCATCCCAGCCTTTTAAAGAAAACACAAATAAAATGAGTCAGGACAACATAAGTTTATGAAGGAAATACAGCTTCACTTGAAACATCTCTGCAATCTGTAGCCAATAACCATTTCCACTGCAGAAGACACAGCCCAGGGTTTTGGATCACATCTTCCGAAATGCCTCAATGCCTTTCCACTGGCAACCAATTGGAAAAATGTCCCTTATATAATGTCAATTTTGTAAGTAGAATTTAACTTTTTTGGTCATGTCAATATTGTCAAAAAACTTTATCTTACAGAGGACGGGTGTTCTGTGAGTACCCTGGCGTGATTCATTCCCACTAAAGGAAAACTTCAGATAACAAATTACCCTATTGAAAATAAATTTTCAGTCAAACAGCCCAGATGGATAGAGTAGCAAAATAGCTGAGTTTTGAAAAGGAGAGTGTGGACAGAGAGAAAATCTGGTAAGACATTTCTCTCAACAGATCATCTATTCATGAAATAAGCAGCTGGAGTGGGGCTGAGAGGAACAGAGCATTTTTCCTAATCAGCCCAGAAACACTGTAACTAAAAAGTTAATAACACAACCAAACCCCCTTTTCTTCCACTGCCAAACTGAAAATAAACATTTGACAGAAAAGACTATAAATAAGATAAAGCATGGAGGGTGGGCTGTGTCATTTCTGATACTTGAACAAAGGTGAGACAAGTGGGGCTTGTGAAGGTGCAGGAGGCTGGGGGTGCTCTGCCTATGCTTGGTGCCACACCAGGGCTCAGCAGGTCTGAACAAAACCTCAGTGAAGAATTTGATGAAGGGTTGAGTGACCAAAACCAGGAATTGGTAACGGTACAGATTAAAGTTCAAGATTTTTTTCTACATAAAATTGTAAAATACAATGTAATGATTTAAAAATTACTTTCTATATGGTTTGATTTAAAAACCAGGCATGCACTCAGGAGAAAGACATCACCTCTAGTGATCCTATAGTTTTTCCCTATTTTCCTTCCATTCTTGTGTAAGGACCCGAGTGGGTATCCTCCTGGGGGCACATACAGTGCTTTACCTCAGCAGGCTCCAAGTAAAGACCCATTGTTGTGTAAGGACCTGAGTGGGTATCCTCCTGGGGGCGCATACAGTACTTTACCTCAGCAGGCTCCAAGTAAAGAGCTGTGTAATGATTAACTGAATCACCATTTGGATGTACTCCAGTAAAGGGAACAAATACACAGAGGCTGCTACAGCTGAGCAGTGCCAGTGCTGGGACCTCCCAGAGAGATGCAGTGCTGTTCCACCAACACCTTCAGCTTCCAAACAAAGACTGCAAAACACCTGGAGCGCTCCATTTTGGCACAGGGTTCTAGCAGGTTATGGGAATGATCCTTCATGAAAGCCATAGCGACAACTATGCTTCTCAAGACAACATTCAAGCTGCTGCTTATGTTGTGTTATTTTTGCACTGAGAATATAGACAAGCTCCAGGGACCTGGATCTCAGCTAGGGTGTGGGTGGGTGTGCATGTGTGCACATGTGCCTGGGGATGCGGTGCCTGTGTTCAGACAGTTTCTTCCAGATCACCTGATTTATAAAGGCTTATTAAAACACAGAAAGGGAATGAAGTTCAACAAGAAGCATCCTCTTGTCAGCAAAATTCTATTATTTTCTCTAAAGGTGTAAGATTTAGCCCCCATTTACCAGGGTACAATAGTCATCACTGTGGTCGCTTCGACTTACATTCTAACTGAACGTGAGATGTGCATCTAGTGCCTTACTGCCTAGTTCCCTCCCTGAACTTTTCTATTTCCTACCTGGAATGCCTCAAACAACAGATAAGGAAGGATGCATTTTTATATTATGCCTTTTAAAAATATTTTCTAATGTCTAAACAATTTCCTCTGAACACTCCGGTATTGTAACTCACACTAAACTGACAATAATGCACCTAGTTGTCTCCCATTTCTTCCCGCTGACATGGCATAGGTCAGTGAAGGTCATTAGTGTTCCAGAAATATTAGCCAAGTCAGTGGCTTATGTCACACAGAGCTGTACTCACTTCACAAATGAAGAAATGAAATGCCTCTCTCATGAAGGCAGCACAAACCTTTCAGTAGGTGCAAACAGAGTCTTGGCTTTCAGAGCGCAAATTCCTTGCCCAGCTTCTTGCTACACATAGCCTTGACATGATGAACATTGGGTGCCACAGAAATGCCTTTTGCAGCCAGTAAGACAAAGAGCATTTTTAATGTGCTGGGGCACAGTAACAGCAGTAGATATACATACAGCTGTCAGCAGAAACTAGCGATAGCCCCATGATAGCAGCATTTCATTTCCTTGCATGGCTTTATTTGTAATTTCTTTAATCTCAGTTTTCTGAAGGAAAATGCAAGCTACATTTGGCAACAAAAAGAAGGGTTACACCTGGGGTCTGTAGCCCTCTGTATCCTTCATCCTTGTGGATCCTCACACTTTCATGCAAGACAGAGCGTTCAGCTGCCATGAAAAGATACACTTCAAAGTTCCTTTTCCAGATCTGCATTCCAATGCAACTTATCAGAAATGGACTGAAGTATTACACAAGAGAAGACAGGCCAATGCAGCAGACTACAGTCAGAGAGTCCACCCCTGGTAAGTTTCTGGGCATGAAGGCCTCTTGCACAGCATATGTCTCCAGGCAGTTGTCAAACGGAAGAGAGCCTGGGTGCTGTGCAGGATGAATGTGCAAAGGCAACCCGGAGCCAAGGAAGGAACAAAGAGACCAACAATTGTGTGAGCCCCAGCTCAGCATGACACTGCAGGGATTTGTGTCTCTGGATTTCAGAGCCACTGGAACAGCTGGCAGAGCTCTCCAGAGTTCCTGCTGGTACCAGTAACAAAAGCAAATCCAGAGCTAAAACAATCAGCTGAAAAAAATTGAGAGAGGAAATGGGCTCGTCTGTGTGTTTATATGTGGCCTAGCACAAAGGTTCCCTGGACAGGACCCAAAGATATGACAAATGTGCAAAATAATGAGGAATAATTATAATCTGGGGTGCTGAGAAACCATAAACAGGTTGAACTTGTTCAGTAATGTCATCAGCTCCAACCAGACAGGCCTGGTCATGCATTCACTGTGCTGCTACACGTACTCACAGCTCCTCTCGTGTGACAGGCTGTCGGCAGCCTAAGGCTGATCACGACTGACACTTGCTAAATATACACAGATTTGAAAGCAGGTCATAAGGAATCACTTTATGTACATCCACTGCACATCTCCATGCCATTACCCACATTTTCTGGACAAACTGTTCACCACACACGCTGAATACAACCTTCTTTGCTACCCTCATTTTCTATGAAATTACGGTTCCGGTAGAGGTGTTGATGGGAGCACCTTACTGATAATTTAAAGGCAAGTAATAAAACAGCATTCCTCTAATATCCAGGAGGCGAGAAAAACATTAGTGTGGGCCTCAATGTGTTCAGCCTGGAGAAGGGAAGGTTGTGTGGAGACCTCCTACCACCTTCCAGTATCTGAAGGGCTAAAAGGAATCCAGAGAGGGACTCTTTGTTAGGAGCTGCAGTGACAGGACAAGGGGCAATGGGTACAAATTGCAAGAAGGGAAATTTAGGTTAGATACTAAGAAAAAACTTTTTCCTGTGAGGGTGATGAGACACAGGCACAGGTTGCCCAGGGACGTAGTAGAAGCCCCAACCCTAGCAGTGTTCAGAGTCAGGTTGGATGAAGCCTTGAGCAACCTGGTGTAGAGGGGAGGTGTCCCTGCCCATGGCTGGGGTTGGGACTAGATGATCTCTAAGGTCCATTCCAACCCCTAAAATTCTGTGATTCTAGCAGCAAAGGGGGCTACTGTCAACAGCCACTGCACTGGGTTCTTCAGGGACATCCAAAAGAGTGGCTGGGGGCGAGAGGGATTGTTGTTTTGGTGGTTTTGATGCATTCTGTTCGGTGTGCAGCTGCAGTGCCAGCTACAAGGGGAGCTCCAGGGGTCAGAAGCCCAAGCCCAAAGCAAGAGGCTGTGAACTGCCAACCCTTTCCATAACAAAGGGCTCAGGGACGTGTGGCACCAGCTGGGTGATCAGACACTCAGGGACACAGCAGGAGCTGACTAGCCGCAGACTTTCCCCACACTTAGACTGAGGTCCCTTGGCAGGGGCTGTTATTCTATTATTTCATTATTTAGTTATCACACCATGATTAAATTTTTTTAAGGATCTGTTCATCTGAGACTCTGCTGTGGGAAACCTCGGGACAAGGCAGTAGGGAAGCTGCTGACTGTGTGAGTGTGGTGTGTATAGCTGGGAAGGGGCTTTGGTTCCAGCTTGGGTGCTGCAAGAGTGACTGCCAGAGTGGCTCCTGGATGGTTGGGCAGGGAAGTTTTTCCTTAACATGTTGATACCAATTTATAAAAGTTTCATGAGGATATCATGGAAGCTAAATGCCAAACTGTGCTATTTACTCTCATGACCATTCTAGTTACTTCTAACTGGATCAAACCTTAGAAAAAGAGGAATTTCTGCCACTGGCAGCAACAAGAACAACATCAGGCTCTTGTTGGCTACTTTAAACTTAGAATGTGGTGACCTTTGCACTGATGCAATGTGGAAATAATCCAGCTTAAAAGACAATAAAGTCATGCCAGGACAAATAATTTGAGTCAGGGCTATGCACTTCTGGCTCCATCTGGCTTTTTCATAACTGCCACAGGGAGCAGAACACAAAACTGCAAAGCATCAGACTATACATGCGTGGTAGTGGTGGTCAATTAAAGCACAAGAGGGTCATGCCCTAAGGAGCCTGTTGCCTGGTAGAGGCTTAATACTGCAGGGGACAGGGGAAAAGGGAAGAGACAGAGGTAAAGCTCTGAGGGAGAAGAGGATCTACAGAAATAAGTATTGAAGAATTATATTAGATTCTATAACTTAAGGATTGACAGATAGCTCCATTTTTGAAACAGTTAGAGAAATGGTTCAAAATAGCATGGGCATATCCCATATATCCACATGGATCTGAATTACTAAAAATGGTGTCACTGGGGCTTTTTTTCAGGTATAATACATTTTCAAAAACTGTACATATTATATAAATAGAAATTTGCTGCGAATTTTTCAGCAAAACATTTTTTCTATTGTAAAATGTCAGTGTCTGTCAAACATCAAAGCAGTCTGCAGAAAGGACAAAGATATTTTGGGGCAAATCCTTTGTTCCACAAGCTTTACATGGGATTTATCATTATTTCACAAAGATAACAGTTCCATTTTCATTAAAAATAATTTTAGCTTAAAAATATGTTTTTCTAAGTAAAAGAATAAAATAAAAATTGGAATCAAAATATTAATCTATGTAGAAACAAAAAGTTTCAATTATTCACTAGCAATAAGTATTTCTTTGTCCTGCTGGTTCAAAAAAACCCAGAACATGTGTCTGTCCCAGACTGGGACAGCTCTAAAGGATATGTAAGCACATGAAATCCATGCAGTGTGTCAAATCATATGTCATGGATTTCCTCTCTGCTCTGGCACTTGTATCCTGCAAATGCCCAAGGAGAAAAGGGAACAAGTAAGTATATTATGGTCCTAAAACTTCCTGGTATGTGGTAATCGCTCCCGTTTTCCAGCTTTGCTCACTTCTGTCACTTTAAATCACAAAGTACGTAAGACACATATTTTTTTAACATTTGTTTGTGTGAACTTTTGCTCAGTGTGCCCTTACCCTGAGCACCACTGAACATTAACAGTGTCTTCTGGACTATATATGTGTTGTGCATGCACAGTCAGAAAGAGCAAGATTGGAGTCAGCAATAAACACTTTCTTTGGCACAGAAAGCAGAGTGAGACTGTTCCAAAGCCAGGGCTCAGTTTGGCAATACAGAACACTGATCCTAGCCAAGGCACCTCGTACGTGGATCACAGTAACTACCCCTCCTCATTTCCAGGCTGCAGCTGTACGGTTAGAAACCACAAGGATGTGCATTCCGAGACTGCTGGGGGTATGGTCTCGGCTGCTGAGGATCATGTGTTGTTCAGTGCATCTACAAGCACCACTTGAGTGCACACTCCATAGTGACTTCTTGCCACTGACAATTTAACAGCTTCTCCTTTTCCAGCTCCCCGTTCCAACACTTCTGCTTTTTCTTCTGCAATCTGAGCACTTCACTTAGTGAAGTAAGTGACTGAGGAATACTAACAGGAATAGTCATCGTGCCAGTGTAGGGAGCAGAGGCCTCCTCTGCAATACTTTCGGTCACTGAGTTTAGCCCTCTGCCCACGTTTTCAATTCTTGTGTCATACAATGAGATCTGAATAGTAATTCAGATTGTGAATAGTGAATGATGGCAGATAGTTCTGAATAGTGAATCAGAATGATGGCAGATTCTTATTCTACTGCAACTTGAGGGCCAACAGTCATTACTACATTCTTCACAAAGAAGCATTAACCCATGAAATGAGTTCATCAACAGGATTGTGAGGTGGAGAAGTAACTCTAAGTATACATTGGTGTTGCAAATGATTACTACTCCCCTCTCTAAAACGTGCAGAAAAGACACTGCAGTGTCCATGCATATTTCAAAAACAAGACACCTTCTGCCATTTGAACAGAGCACAGGCTGCCATTCAGGAACAGGAATTCGGACATTGCCTTGGGATTCCCAATGGCTGCAGCACCAGTACCTATTGCCAGAATGGTCCAGGGAGACACCAAGTTCTCACATTACAAGGCAATACACCCAAAGTACTCACTCAAAAGGAAGCAATGACAGCTGCCAGAGAGAGGCAGGGTACACAGAGCACTCCAGTGTCAGCCACTTAGAGGGGTTTGAAGATCCTTTTTCTTCTCTCTAAATGTTACCAGCTTTGTCCTATGTCTGTTTTAGAAGTATAATGATAGGGAGAAAACTGAAACTAGAAATTAGTGGCTGGTAGGAACAAAAGGATGAAAATTATTGCTATGCTTGGGAAAAAAAGCCATGAAATGCTCCAGTTCCTTAGGACACAAAAGCAGCCTTTAGCATCTCGACATTTACTGTGCCAGTATATTTACACTACTCTGAGCACAAACAACGCTGAGAACACATGGCAACTTAAATAGGAAGCGGGAGACGCCAACACTCTACTGCCAGCCAGTTTCCATGCTTGGTTATTTTTAACTTGTTCACCCTGGTGCTGTGGTATCAGACACTCCTCATGGCTCATACTTCTGCTGATTCCACAAACTAGGGAGGTGAAAGCAGAGCTGACTCTCAATTCACAGGCTTTGAAGTTGATGTCGTCAGTGACATTACAAGGTTTTAAGGCAGGTTACATTACCTAAGGAAATGAAGGAAGGTCAGTGATCTCACAACCACCATGAAAAGACAGGCCATTACAAGAGAACGAGGATGTTCAGCTTGGGCATGGATTTACTGGGAAGGGGAGGAGAGGAGCACTTAGCTCTTCTCCCTGTTAGCATCAGGAACAACAACCATGTGGCTGTGCAGCTCCCACAACCACAGAAGGTCTGGATCCTGTTTTGCCAGTTGAGATAGCAAAGGTCAGTCACACCAAGACACACATGCAGAGAACATATTTTGTAAAGCTTTTTGAAAAATATGCAACTTACCTCCTTCTCTTTGAACTATGTGGTACAGGTGAACTGTATGCAGAATAGACTCCAGATCTTGATCTTGGTAGCCTTTCTCATGCATGTCATCCACTGAGTCTGGATAGATGACTTGATCACGTAGCGTTCCAATGGACATGTAGGGCCTGACAAACAATACAGAGACACTGGTAATCCGAGGCTGGTTTCAAGTGAGTGTATCTTGCTGATGTTCTGTGAGCAGATTATAATGCTTTAAACACCATGTTGCCAAAACTGGATTTATCTGTGGGTGCACTGTGGGTGAACTTTCTTCTAATCTTATCCTAGGGACAATGTATTGTTTCCATAACAGCTGATTACGGGGTAGCAACAGGAGTAGTGTTAGCATGGAAACACAATGACAGATCAGGCAGAATAAATATACACCTCATAGCCCATTCTGAATGCTTTCACTTGGAATCACTTGAATATGCTGTATTCAAGGCTTGGTACACTTAGAGATTTACAAATTGAATTAAACACTCACACTGTAAAAGCAAATTGTAACAAAAACATTGCAGCTCAAACTGGGAATTCCACAGTGCAACAGGAGACACCTAAGTCAGGCAGAAGAGCACTGAAAACCTCCTTTGCACACTGCTATTCTGGAGTGAAGAATTGGGACTGGGCATAATTTAGCTGGCTCTAGGAGCCAGTGTAACACCTCTGAATTGCAAAACAGCATACATTAGAAATGCTGATCACCTTAAACCTCCCAGCACCAGCCTCCCTTTGCCAAGCACAAGGCTGAGCTGCATGCGAAGCAGCTTCTGAATCACCTTGTTTCCAGACCAGGTAATACCATCTGTCTTACTAAAACAAGCTGTCTCCAATTTGAAGCCAGAATCCTCAATCATGGTTGTGTCCCTGGAATGGCTATGGACATGTAATGCCATGAGCTGTGCCCAGCCTCTCGTACATCCCAGGCCCCAAAAATCCTCCTAGTCTCAAAACAAATGCAGCTGAAAGAACAGTTTTTCAGCTCTAAAAGATACCAGGCCCTTCAGGCTAAGACAGACCTATTTGACCATTTCTTTTGCTGCTCTTGTCCTAAGGATTTCTTGTGAAGAACAAATATCCTTTCTGCCTGTCCCACAGACACCGCTGATAGATAGCTCCTGAAAGCCGGAAACACCATGGGAATAGTGTGTGAGATACTGAGTTTGGAAGGGAAGGCCAGAGCCAAAGAACAGTCAGGCTCCAGACGCTGTCCTGCTTTCTGTGCCAAGAGTTCCACTAACTCCCTCTGGGTTCATCTGCTGAAACAATGCTAGTCTTATTAAAGCTGTGGTGCCAGGGGACGATGATAGAGAGGAGCAGTCCAAACTGGGCCAGCAACAAGGACGCTTCCAGGCAGCTTGCTCTTGCCACTGAGAACTGCTTCAAACAACTTCACAGCACACTGACAAGGGGTTTCTTCCCTAAAGAGCTCTGGATCTGCATGGTGAGAAGGTCTCAGCCATGAAGAGGCATTGCTCTGGCAAAGATGTATAATACCTCATCAGATTTCTTCCCTTCCCTTGGAGGTGTCTGCAGAAGGGGCAGATCTATCCATTATTATTCTGAGAGTCCCTAAAATACACCACAGAGTAAAGTGAAGGAATTCATAATGCAACAAATGAAGAATTACAGAACTAAAGCAGCAAAATGAACTGAAAGTCACATGCCAGTTGCCATCAGCTGCGTTGGTTTTAGTGCTGCAAACATCCATGGCAAAACTGTCTGTACCTGCCCGTAGTTAAACTACTTTCACCATCAGCTGGGTGAGGGTGGGAAGGGCAGGGGATCTGAACTGCTTACAAATATTTGGTCATCTCCCTGTTGTGGCAAGTACCCAGATGGAGCAAAACTAGAACTGCAAGTCAAACACAAGCATTGCTGCTCCTCTGTACTCACTGTTCTCCTCACTGCTTACTGTGGGAAGAGTACTGCTCTGGGCTGCTGCATGAACACTAGCACCAAGTGCAGTGAACCACTTACATTAATTGGGATATTGCAAAATCTCAACTCTAAACATTAAGTAACTTTATGAAGTAATGATATATTACATTTCCATAGTGCTCTCCATCTAAAATCCCAAAGGGCTTTACTTCTTGCATATGTAGAGATCGCTTCACTTGCTCCAGACTGCTGCCACCTCTGGGACAGAAGACAGCAACTCCACCTGCACTCAGAAAGGTTTAAATCAGGTTGTACATTAAGACTGTGTAATTTAGGTGAAGTTGCAGGTAAGGGCAAGGAGGATAGAGTTACCTATCATATAATTTGTCTGGAGTTTAATACCTTACTCTTGTGAAGTATGATCCTCTAATGACTAGCAGCTCTGAGATTTAACCTACAGCACAACCAGGAAGGCAATGCTCAAAAGCCAGGACACCCTGGTGCCATGCTGTTTACTGAGTCACCACCACTGCTTCCTGGTACAGCTGGATTTTCCTTGTGGCCTCCCATCCAAACACACCAGTACTACCAAGCATGCCTATCCCCACCTGGTTTGTAAAAATTAAAGAAAAACCCAGTCTGCAGTGGAGTAACAAACCTCATGAATTACTAACTAGCAGGGAGAAAGAATGGCTTATGGTTACAGGTGTGTCCCGGGAGGGAGAGCACTGTCTGGGGATCCAGCTTTTGACAACAAAGAGAGGCACCTCCGTGGTTGGTTCATCCCATTCATTTAAGGGTGAGGATGGATTGCTACCTGGGGGTGTCTTCTCCCTCAATGGATGACACAGCCCAGACAACTAACTTAGATAACCAAGTTTTAAAGTATTAAAGTTAGATGAGATCTCATCTAACTCATACTCTCATAATCTCGTACTAAACCAGATTTCTCTAGCCATAACTTGAAGACAATAACCTCCTCCAGTACCATGGGTGCCACAAAGTTACAATAACCATCAAGTGTTATTGTAACTGAGGTTACAAGTGTGTGATAGCTGGACATTAAGTAGCAAGAAGTATGGATAACTGGGTACAGCAACAGTGAAGTTTTGGCTTTGTCAGTAAGCTCCTTGTTAAAATATTGTTTTCATTAACGTTTTAGCAGTTCAGGCAACAAAACCAGTCTTTTTGTCCTAAAGTAATACTCAAGTTTAAGTGGATTTAATTGATTTCTGACGGAGTTTTTCCCTTCAGCCACAGTGTCTGGCTTCCAGTCTCAAAGAAGCATTCTAACAGACTCCAACAGCAACTCCTCTGCTGTGCTGAGGTCATGTCTTTCACGATAACAACTCTGCAATTGGTCTTTTTTTCTTTCTCTGCTTTCTGAAAAGAGATTTCTAAACTGGTTTTGAGATACAGGATTTAAGATCAGTAATCCTTTTTTAAAGCTTTGGTATCAGACCTCCAGAAAGCTAAGAAAACTGACTCATTCTTGCCTGGTTTTCTGGAATATCAAGGCATTTATTGGAAGAGACACTTTCAGTTCTCATAAACTGCTGTTTTTCAGTCAGTTTGATGGCTTTAATGCATCACCAATTTTAGTTTGGTGCACTTCACTTTGCAGCACTGTAACTTCATTCTGCTAGTAACAAGCCATCATCCCTAAAGCTTATGGCTTCCCTCTTGCAGTGCAGGCTTTAAAGCAAGATAATATCAAGATGTGCTGCAGTCTGAAGTATGGACAATTTACCTGGGCCCTATTGACACGTGACATTGTGCACAATGCTGGCAAAATAACAGAGAAATCATATGGGGAGGAAGAGCAAGTGTTGCCAATGTCTCTTCACTGCAGTTAGTAGAAGAGCAAGTGTTGCTTGCCAATGTCTCTTCACTGCAGTTAGTTCTGGGAAGGGAGAAGGGGGCAGATGCTACAAAACATGTAACAGTCACCTGTCTTTCCAAACAGTGGACTTACATGCTGGAGCTGTCAGGCATGGAGAAAAAAGTACAATGCAAATTCAAGGGGCCTGTAGATTAACACTGCACATGGTAACCAGGCTGAACTAACATCTAGTAATTCTCTGATGTCTTGAAGAGCAGAGGGTAGCAAGTTAATTAAGATAACTTGCTTAGATGTCCCAGAAATTGATGTTCCAAGCCATATCCACTTGAAATATTTACAGATACTCCCTGCTGTTTTCATCTTTTGTGCAAAATAAACTGTGCTGACAGAATTGATAATCTGTTCTGACACCCATAACTTTGTTGTAAAGAATTACAGCAACTAATCAATATGGACTTCGAGATTCTATTCAATCTGAATGGTCAGAGTCGTAATTACAAGCATCCTGGAATAAGAAAGGGACCAAAAATAAACCTTCATTAAGTGTCTGGCATCAGAAGTTAAAGGATATTAGTTCAGTATAACTGCCCGGGGACAGTCTGAAGCTCACCTTGCCTTCCTTGGCACAGGCAGTGATTAACACTTCCTCCATGGAAGGTAAAGTCTAAAAACATTTGGCTATGATTCTGAAACCCATCTTCATGGCCTCAACCCAGCAATCAATACCTGACTTGCCATTTGCTGTCCAAGTGTACTTGCAGTTATTATTGCACTGCTATTCTCACAGATATGCAAAGTTATGAAGGAAAACTATGTACAATGCAACTATAAGCTCTTGACTGACCCAGTTTATAAGCTCCTGTCTCTGCTGACAAGATGCCTCTCTGATACATCCACGTGGGACAGAGAAAGGGGAACACCACACCTGGGATTCTCCTTTTCAGATGAATTGCAGCTTGGCTTTTTAAAGACTGGGATGGCTTCAGAGCGCAAATCAGAGTGCTTGCTTTGACAACTGAAATAGAAAGTATTCCAAATTTAGGCACCTCTATTTAAGAAGATGATACTGGAGCCCAAGCACCAGCCATGGAGGTATCTTTCCAGGAGATCTGGAAGATCTTAAGGTGTCAGTGCTTGCATTGAATAATCTCCAGTGCAGAAAGCCAAATGATGTCTGATTCCCAGAAGGTCCAGATAGCACAGAATATGAGAACAACAGTTTTAAGTCCAGCACAAAACACTGCAGCTACTAGAGATGCAAGAGGGGGGGCTCTATGACAAGCTAATGGTTAGCAAATCTCTCCCAAGGACTAAGCTCAAACTAAGTTCTTCTCAGCTTGCAGGGCATCAGATTGCTATTTTTCTAGGCTAGCATTCTGGCTAAAGAGGAGCCAAAGGGAG